GCGATGAGCTGAAGTCCGCTTCTGGAGCAACGGCGCTCGTGCATATAAGTGAGGGGCGTGGCTTTTGAGGGAGCACAGAGGGGAGGGGGTGGGTCCAGACGGAGCACTGAGGGAATGCTACTTTCAAAATCATGCTAGTTTTCAAAAATTACCAACCCTGCCTTTAAAGGTTTCTTGTGGGTGACTTTGGTGCTGCTGAGCAATTATTTTGTTGAACAAGTCTCAGTTTTTCAGATTAGAAGAATGCAAATGTGCATCCAATATTACTGAGAAAAAATTTCAATGGATTATGTTGTCGCTTTTTTAGGGGCTGTTGAAAGTCTCAAATATACTGCAAAGACATCCTGTAGTATGAAGTGTCTTTCCCTCTGTGAGTGGGGCATGGTGCTATGACTGATGGTAGCCTGCTAATGCCATTCATCATCTGGCAGACTGTCTCTGGGTGGCCAGGGGCAGCAAACTCTTCACTCTCATTAAAAGTGGTGGGTCCTCTTTCAGTGGTCATTGAATTGTTTTCAACATTATTTTTCCTGTTCTGAAAGAGTGCAATAGAAACATTGTTCAACATCTTCTTATTTACCAGTGCAGGCAGCTGCTAGCTAGCTTTTCCATCAGTCATGCTAAGATCTACTGTAGCAGTTTCTCAATTTGTGCAGCTAGCTCAACATTTAATCTCCTAACTCTATTTCTCTTTGTTTGGCTGCTTTATTTAAGTTTTCAGCAGTGATTGAAGCTTTCTTAATCGGCACAGCTAGCAGTTCTCGCAGGGCTGTAAAGATCATCTGGTGATTTTATTATCAAAATTTGCAGCTTTTCTCTCTTCTCTTCTTCAAACTGTTATAATTAGCTTTGGAAACCAGACTTCTCCAGGCATGATGAAGCAATTGGATGCCTTCCCTTGCTTATATAATTCTTCATTCATGAGTCATTGCAGAATCACAAGTCTGATACCTGTTTTAAGACCGTCCATCTAGTTTTACATACTCGAGCGATCCAGCAGAACACTGTGTTCTGTATGTGCATATTATGACTCTGTAGTCACCACACATGCTAAACATTGTAAGCATTTGTCACCATGCATAAAGCTTCTTGCAATTTCCATATTTAATTTCTAATATGTCAGGTGCTTACCAGCACTCCTCTCCCTTTTCCTAACGCTACAGTTGTCTTGTTTTTATCACCTATCATCAATCAGATAATTGAACGCAGGGCACGTTTTTAATTAGCATTCAGCCTAGCTGTCAGCGACTTAGCATGGCCCTGCAACTGCTTGACTATTTACCCATCAATGCAATTACAGGTTTAATTCAATGGTTACGCCTTGCTATGCTCATGCCATTTCTCTTGGAGCAGTGCCTCAGTTGGGCAGGTTGATCACAAATAATCTTTTTTCCTCAGATAACTTCCTGTAGCAATAACGATTATAAGCTTCACGTTTTGTTATGATGGTTTTTGGATGATCGGATGCGTTTAAGATGATGCTTTATTCCTCAAATCTGAGTCATGATTTGGCAAAAATTAGATGAATATTCTGTCGTCTCTGTAGAATATTGTCTTGCATTGAAGACATATTTTGCAGTTGTCAAATTGTCCTTAACATATACTGTCAGTAGGCTACCATGACAACTGCCCTTTCTCAAACCACTTCCTCCACACTCACACTCCAGCAAGGAGTGAACTCCGTCTGATGTCACCCCCGCAGCTGAATGAAGGTTTGTTAAGGTGGAGGGAGTGGAGTAAAATAAACATGCATACTCTTTTCAAGAGTAAAAAATGTTGCTTAGATCCTGATTATGATGTTAACTTTTTGATATTTATATCTGTATGATATTATTATTTGTATCTCATTTAAAAGCATTATAGTTTTTGCATGTGATAACACAGAACTTTGATGTACGGTTTTGGATGGCACTCAAAGGTGGCGGACCCTCCACGCGAGCATGCAAATGGACTGGAAGTGTGCAGGGAGCGAGTGTAGGGGGTGGTTTGAGAAATACCCAAGATCAGAATTTTATTTTCTTATAAGACTCAACTCAACATATTGTGAAATTTGTTTCAGCCACCAGCTTGGGCCAAAAAAACAAGGGCATGTATTTATTAGATCGGTCAAATAAAGCACCGGTCCAAATATAGGCCATCAGTTTTTAGCATATCTTGAGACGATATCAAAACACTTAGAGTACTCAGGCCTAATTACAAAGCACACATGGCTTCAGTTACATGTATGTGTTTGTGTGTCGACATGTCAGAAAAGAGCAAACTGGGTGTTGGGAGTAGAAATCTGGTGCAGTGCCGACAGACCTACAGGACTGATTTTTCCCTGATTCTGAAATTCACATTTCTTCATGTTGTTAGCTTGTTTTGTTTTTTAAGGAATAGGGAATTAAAAAGTCTCTGGCCCATGAGGATGATGTGTGATAATAGCCTTGGAATCTTTCCTTTGTTCAAATCCCAGATCAAGCCCTTGCGGTTCATTTCACCCAGAGAAACAATCTGGTGCCAACAGATGTAATTAGTTTATTCAATTTAAATCTTATCCCAAAAAGGCAACACTCCCAAAGACGGACTAGATTGTATCCCTCCCCCCAACCAGCTCGTCTGCTGCGGTGTTATATGGGGTAACAGTAGTCTGCGCTCATTATTTTGAATGACTGCACAGAGCCTGTGAGCAATCCAAAAGGGGCAGGATGTATTCTCACAGCAGAGGCCTCCACACATCGACACTTTAGTGAGGGGAAAACAGGGAGACAAGTGTTTCAGCTTACCAAGCAGCATTTCAGTGCCTGTATACAGATCTTATATCTGAGCACAATAGGCTTGCTGTCCAGGGTATTCCACTCTCCGTCTGTTTTGAAGATCACCACTTTACCCCCCATGACTCTTAAGCGACTCAATCTGACTGCCGCCTGCGCTTCTGTATGACATATTCCTGCTCTTGTGGCTAACACTGTTAGCTGCGGGAGCTTCACTGACCTAAGAGATGTGAGCAATGGCAACCAGGCTAGCAGAAGACTGCAAACTGAAGGAGTTTGGGATGCGAGGGGGAAAACGCTTTTGCTAAACAGCCCCACCTGTCAGCTCGCTGAGCTCGGTATAAAAGATGAGACAGCAGAGAATCTTTTGTGGAAAAAAAGATGAGGGTTGAAAGGATAAAAGAAGTAGCTCTTTCAAGTGAGGTAAAGGAGTTGGTCTCAGCTGCTTTAAGAGGCCCTTTTTTCTTCCTTTAATGTGCCTCCAGAAGGGTTCAGCCTTGACTTAAAATGAAATCAAGGAAAGTGTACATAGGAATCAACCCACCCTGACCTTAGCTCTGCATCTTGTCTAACGTTCTGTTTCCATTTCCACAGACTTCCACCCGTTGCGATCTGTCTGTGCTGGGCCTTTGACTTGTATTATTCACACACAGGCATTCATGTTTAGAGAACCTACATGACCTGGCTTGATAAAGGAAATGAAAAGCCCAGAGATTCACTCTTCCACCTTGTGTTCGACCACTCAGGCGGTCAATCATCATACCTTCCAGTTTTAAAAAAAAAAAAAAAAAGAAATGGGTGATGGAATAAACAGTGCAGGTAATAACTTCTATACGGTAAAGTGGTCCAATAGGTAGAATAGCAAAGAACACTGATCTTAACTGAAGGTACAATGAGTTTGATTGATAAAGTGTAATGTGATTTACCCACTATTAAAAAATAGTACCAACACACAGAGTACAAAACTAGTCCTTATAAGCCCAGCTCCACTCAAGCTATATTATGTTATGCAAAAAAATCCCCAGCCCTTCCCTTCCCCGGCCTGCCCCATACTCCAGCTCCACAACATCCACAACCTGGAACTTCATTTTCCATGGTCCTGTGAGGTGTATTATTCCTGTAATCCAATCAGGAAATCCTTCGGAAATTGCTCCAATGCGAGGGAGAAGGTGAAAATTATTCTTAATAATGACATAATCAGCAGAGCAGCCATCAAGCAGATAAATTGTCATGCGCATCGTGCTAAAATATCCAATTATCCTTTGTCCCCCAGCTCTCTGTGTTGTAGTTGGAACTGCCAGAAAGCCAGTGGGTGGATCCCACCTTCCCACTGGTTCAGTCCTGCTGGCAGGTTTGCAGTATAGATGTCCCCCCCAAGAGAAGAGGGCTTAAACAGCCTTGGTGCTTAGTGTACAGATCTAGATATGTAAATAGGTTCTATACAATAAAACTGTTCCCAATCCTCAAAAATAAATGGATGAAAAGTATCTTTGACATTTTTTTTTTCCTCGAAATGGTTCCATTGTGCATACAGGGTTTCTTGGAAGTTCTCAGTCCTTCCTTTGCGCTATTCATCTATTGTTTTTGCTGTATCTTACATAGCCTCCATTTATGAAGTTAACACATGCCTAAATTGGTTTGCGCCGCATCTACTCTGTGCCCCACGAACAGAGTAATCTGCAGCGCGATGCCAAAGGAAAACAATATGTTTTCTTTCTTTTACAAAGTGCTCCCCTCTTCTCCCCTCCGAGGCGTGTCTGATGCTCTGTTCTGCTTCCAGATAACACCGTCAAGCAGTCATTTGTCAAAGGATCCCGAAGGCCATATCTGTCGCTAGAAAGAAAAAGTAGTTTACTGTACCTTGTTTTGCTGCAATATCAGAACAGAAATAATAATACAAAAAAACATCCTCCTCCTTGTCTAAGCTTGTAAGGTTATTTTTCTTCCACTGCGTGTTTGTACTTTTTTCTTCTTGTCATTTATTTTTCTACAAAAAACATAATTCTTCTTTTTTTTTTTCCTCATGTCCAAACCCCAAGTAATCCGATGACTATATTCCCTCAGGTATGAACAGGGTGTCAAACAATCCCAGCGTTATTCCATGGGTGTCTGGCAACTCCAGGCTGACTTTCAGCTCCTGATACACCTGCGTTTGTCAACTTGTCGGCCGTAAGTCTCTGCTGTAGCAGTGGCGTTAGATTTTGCCTCAGCCGTCAGAGTCCTGCCTGCGTGGGTGTATCCACTGGGCTATACCCGGGTGGTGGAGTGTGAGTGTGGGTGCGGGTGGGGAAGGGTGTTATTCTGCCCGCTGCCGGGGAAGGTGTTGAAAGAATGGAGCGAGGTCAGCCCCCCCATGGTGCTGGGGATCATGGTTATGGTGTTCGGCGTCATGAGCGGGATGTCATCTGGCGAGCGCCTCATGGCCAGAGTGTAGTCCGGTGGGCAGGCAGTCCTCAGCACCATGTCGTGCGCGTGCAGGGAGTCGCCCACCCCCCTGCAGTCCCGGTCCAGGTCTGAGTGCTGCTTCATCTGCAGGGACATGATCTCCTCCTCCTGAGTGTGAGCCAGGTCGTTGGCAGCGCTCCGCTGTGGGCTGCAGCGCCTGTGGACATCATGCCGGCGCTTGTCCTTTTTGTAGTAAAGTGCGGCAAAGGCCAGGATGTTGAGGAAGAGCAGGGAGGCTCCTACGGCGATGGTCACGGACAGCTCAGTGGAGTAGTCCCGCTGGTCCACCAGATGTGGCTGATTGTGGCTGTCCTGTGTCTCGGTGGGGAACGGAGTCGGGTTGGGTCGCTTGGTCACCAGAACCTTGGTCTTTGGGGTGCGGTTGGTAGCCTCTGGAGGAGGGATCTGTAGACAGAAAGCACAATGGTCAGTGTATGTTTGATTTCAAAGTTTTGACTATGGTCAAGGATATAAAGTGTGAGGAAATCATACATTTGTGCACGACTACAACGTGAGCTTGTTAAGACAAACTAATTCATTAGACCAGTTTAGGCATTAAGTTGAAAAGCCATGCTTTCACCAAGGTGTGCACGTTTCTATTTTTCCTGCAATGGACATTTAAATTGAGTTAGATATAAAATAAATTCATTGATATCGCCTAGATCGCAGTATGGAATCCCTGCTGCTTCCTTATAGTACAGCTGATGCAAATAAACTCACATTTCTGTCCATGATATGAGCAGCTGTGAATTTCTCCCTCCTCATTATGTAGCTTATTGCTTTGGTACCGACTTTGCTATGGAGCAATCCACCCAGGTGGTTAAATAAGAAGCGGGATGAGGTGTAGGTGATTTAGTACCAACCTTGGTGGTGGTGGGGATGAGCTGGGTGACCTCGTTGAGGCTGTGCAGATGAGGAACCAGCTCCAACCACAAGTTGACCTGAGGACAGGGAATATGAAGTAGGAGAAATTTAAGAGACACCATATAGAACTGCGTTGAGAAGAGCATACCAGCGTGTGTGTGACATTGCATGAAGATAAGAATTTAATCAATTCCACAACTTGGAATATTTATACCTAAAATGTTCATCCAGCTATACTGTAAGCAACACAGATCAGGAGCTGGGTGTGTAGTATAAGTGACAAGAGGTGAGGGGAGAAGGGAGGGCATTGCAGTGGCAAACTACATACTACTGTAATTAAAATACAGATAAAAAAAAGCTTAAAAACAAACAAAAACACATAAAGACCAAAGATTTTTTTTAGTAAGACTCACTATATAAACTTATTCCCTCCAAAAACCATGACCAGTACCCTCATGATTTCCTGATCTGCAGTGACTGAATTCATATCTTAGGGCAATGTTGTTACTGTCAGTGGTAATAACAAATAGTGCAATCATTACATAACTCTAACACTTGTCTATTTTAATGTGGTTACATAATTATAATGGAAAGCAACGTGACTACTGATTTCCAGTAGATATTGAAAAGGAAACATGATCTGATGGTTCAGGAGTTTCTCTGTTCAAAAATAAATTCCTGTCCAAGTACAGGTACATTTTTGCAGTTTAATTTTAGGTTCGCATGCTACCTGGCTTTATAATCCTAGGAAACCTTTCAAAAACACAATCCTGGTTGGCAACGGCAAGGTTCGTTCTATTCAAAGCCTCTGGCATCTGTCGGTATTCTGTTCTAAAGGTTTTAAAGGGGACATATTTTGAAAAGTACACTTTTACAGTGTTTATTTAGTAAACCTGAGTGTCTACCGACCCACAAAATGTGAAATAAACCCATCCAGTCCTTTGAAAACAGGGAACACAGAGAAAAATGCTCTGTTTATGATTTGCACTACATGTGACATCACAGTGGGATTGTGGTAAAATACCCTTCCCCCCAGCATAGAGGAAAACTTTTGCACAGGTCTACCATTTTTATTATTGCTAGTGAAGGAGGGATGTTTACCGGGAAACCCTCATTGCATTTAAAGAGACACACACAGCAAAACAGAGCGTTCTGAGAGAGCTGGGAGAGAGCTGAGAGATACAGGGTCACAAACCTCCTCTGGTGCTTGATTCATGTTATATTTTGACCAAAGCTCAGCACAGATGTTTCATTTAGACCACAGGGGACTGTTTGAAAATGGGGATAATATGTCCTCTTTAAACAGACCAAGAAATACACTTTACTCAGTCACATCTAACTTTACCTTGTTGGCTCGGTAGTGCTCTTTGACCCGCGGCTTCAGGCCAATGTGCAGGTAAAGCTGGTCTTTCTGGTTGTAGCGAGTCCAGGCCACTTCCTCAAAGCGATTGGGCTTGGTGTGGATGAACTTGGTGTCCTGGGGGACCGGCTGGTTGGGGTCCCTGGAAAAAGAGCAAAGGAGGAAACGTTATTGATTCAAATAAATCTTGGATAAAACCATGCAACAGTACACACATTGTGCCTTCCATATTTTATACAATCCTCTCCTGGCAAATAAGTAATAGTTTACAGATCTGTGGATATTTACTTTGTGGTTAGAAAGAACTAAAGTTTAACTAAAGAAAAAAATGCACCCCCGAGACATGACAGTCTCGTTTATTAGAATTTTAATTTTGACCTAAGTGTAGCAACTCCCTCCGGCTAATCACTGTAATTATGAACACAGAGGTATGCAGTGTCTAGATGAAGCCCTGAGGTTTCATCAAATATTAATCAAGAGTTTCTGAGATATCACACCTGATAAAAATCAAAAAAAGGTCAAAATCGGTATTATTGCTCACGGATGATTGGTTTTCTAAAGATTCTGATTAAATCGAAAGGTCTTAAGAAAGCTAATATCATTAGAAGTTTCGCTAATTTGAAGTTTCTCATGCTAAAAAAATCAGTCTCACACTTTATTTTTCCTCATTATGCATGATGCTGCATGTCTCACTGGGAGTGACTCATTTATATATAATTCAAACACTTATATGCTTCAAACCACGGGATATATTCTTCTGTAGAAATGAGTCCAACCATGCTGATAATTTACATAAAGTATATGCTTCATAAGTCCCAAAAAAATCTTAATAAGGTTGTTTTGTGTGCCTTCTACATTTGGTAAAGCATAGGAGATAATACATGGAAACATATCAATGCACTGTATAGTGAATGCAGGTCAGCGCCCCTATGTGAACTCACCCCATATGCAGAACAGAGTAGCTTTCAGTGCACATTTCACATGGGATACTGCGCTAAATAGGCCCACTTACACTTAATCTGGGCTGAACAGAGCCAGCCATTTGAGCTATGGAAGCCCATTCAGACCCACTGAGCGCCCCATTGTCTGAAGAGCGGCATGTGGAGCCAGCCAGACCCCATCAGGATCACGCTTAACCATTGAAATTGGTGGCATAAATCTCCCAGGTACCCGGCATTCCACGTCAATTTGGGGTTATATAGTAGATAATTAGAGCCTTTCTGTTCCCCTCAGGGCTACTGGGCATCGCACGGAAAAAAAAGCCAATGTCCCCCCATTACGCTCTCAAAAAACAATTACCGCTGTGACTATATGCTGAAAGGCAACGTGGGAATGAGGGAGGGAAAAAAGGATTTAAATTTCATCCCATCGAGAATGTCACTCTTCAGGCTACGTCCATTAATTAAGAATGTATTTGAAGATATGTCGAGAGTGTCTGCGCAGAATACCAATTACACTGCACAGTCCATTAAACAGGATAGCACAATTCACTTCTCCTGATCATCAAATGTAGGTTAATATTGTGGAAACACACTGACAATGAAATCGTCAATTAGCTCATGGGCTTGTGATGCTGATTACATGTGATGACGCCGACCAAGACTGTTGAAGTGACCCTTTGGCTCACTTTCTATTGATGTATGTTCTGCATAATAATAAAGTTTGCAAATTAGATTGATCCATAGATAATGGACACAGTTTGGATATTATGCATATGCTTAATTTTAATCAGATATCCCAAAATAAGCTCTAATTTTGGAATTTCATTAATCAATTTTCATCTTCTAAAGCAGATTCACCAAATTCACACCTTTCCCTACTTTTTTATGGCTGTGCTTGAATTTAAATAATTTGTATCCACCTAATGAAAAGAAGCTTCTTTGACATTTACTTTGACGTCTTTGTTTGCTTTTGGCGTCTTTAAGTTCGTTTTGTGACTTTAATTCAAGCGTCAACCTCTGGTTTTGAGAAATGAATCCAATGTTGAAGTGCAAAATCCTCACTGACTGAAGTATTTTCTGTGGACATACTTATCTGTAATAAGTATGTAATGTAAAAGTATTAATATAATAATATCTGTTGCAGTCACATTTCAATGTGACCTTTGGCAAAACACTGAACCCCAAGTTCCTCCCGCTGTTGTGTCAGCGGCATGTGAATGTGTCTTAATGGGATTAGTTCAAACTGAGTGACACTTTGCATAGCATACTCTGCCATCAGTGGGTGACCTGCAGTGTTTCAATATTCAGAAGACTAGAAAAGCGCTGTAAAAGCCCATGTCCATTTACCACTGACATGCTCTGTCATAGTTTTGTCTCAGCCCTTCACATTAGCACATAGGACCTGAGTTGCGTTCTCTTTTGGGTTCTGTGTTTGTAATGTCATCATACCCTGTCTTGGCAAAGTTAGTCCAGTAGGTCATGACCACAGCGCTGAGCATGACGTCATTCTTGGAGAAGTTGCAGGGAAACAGCTCTGTTGGTCCAATCATGGGAAGGCCAAACACATAAGGGATCTCATCTCCGTGTGCTGCATCCGCCCACGGTGGAACCTAATGAGCAACAGATGAATCGAATCAGATCAGTGTTATTTCATTTATGCAACAGATACAGGACACTGAAAGGCATTATTAGTGCAGCAGACATCCAGTACAATGGTTATTGTGACACACAAAGACACATCAAAGACGCCAGGAAACTTCAACATTTCTGAAAGAGGAGAATGGAAATGAAGTATGGTTTTTTTTTTACGATGTTGCTAACCAGATGTGGCTGATTATTCAGTTTATACCAGAGCCAGACAAGATGAAAAATACAGGGATGGAACAGAGCCGCTTTGAATTGAATTTTAAACAAAATGTTGAAAGTGCATGTAGCTGAAGCCTGACGTGTGAAAAATATGCCAAAGGAACTGCAGAGATTCACTCACTAGTCCCTCTTTCTGGACTGCACAATTTGTCTACAAACTGTAAAATATACATTTAAAAAAATAGAATAAAAGCGTTGGGAAGCGGAACAACTTTGGCTGCAAACACTTGAGTTAAAAAGTGTAATAAAATAAAACCAGACTTTCTTGTGTTCCCTGGTAAATCTGTATCTCTTGGTTTGGTAAACCAGTCTCCCTTCAGGGCTCAAAGAAATTCAGTTTTCTTCAGAACCAGATACAAAAACCAAGAAAACAAAAACTCTGTTGTTCTGTAATTGGTCGTTTCAGATTTTAGGGATGATAACAAACTCAATTTTATTTTGTAATTTAAAGCCAAATGGTGAGTTCCAGTTCGATAAAACGCTAGCTTAATGCTGTTGCAATTGCATCCAAGTCACTGGAAAGGCATGGAATGATGCATAAACATGCTTCTTCACTCTCAATAAGTCAAATATATTTAAGCTTTATGTTTAACTTCAGGATTGTACGGGGACAGAACATGAAGAAAAATGATTTAAGTGACACTCAGTATTACAAAACCACTCCACACAATCACACCATCTTTGTATTTCAGAAGCCAGATTGGGTACATAGGATGTACAGTCACACTATCATAGACAGAGACCTACCTGTTCTGTTTGGCAGTGGTGATAGAAGGCATAAAAGTATGTTGGTGACCCAAAGCTGGAGTGCAGGTCAGCTGTTGCAACAGCCGGCGCCACCCACTGGTGATCAGTAAAAAGTGCCAGGAGTGTCTTCCTACGGGTCTCCGGGTTGTGCCTGTCCGCCCAATCTGTGTACATGAACTTGATCGTCTCTCTGAGGATGTCTTTGCCTTCTGGGTAGCCATAGAGGTCATCCACAAAGCTGGACACGGCATAGTCAAAGTCGTTTGCCTGGACGCCGTTTTCATTGTCCACAATGAGCTCCACAAACTTAAGGCCCTCCCCTTGGTTTACTCCTAGCATGATGTCATAGTTGAGGAACTCACCTTAAAAAATGGTACAGATGATTGTTTAGGGAAGAAATTCAGAGAATACACATTGAAGGAAAATTCCTTTTAAAAAAAAGTTGAAATGATACCTTGCTCCATAAGAATCTGAGGGTCATCCGGTATAACATCCCCATCAATAACCGGCCCAAAGGCGATGTGGTAGCGGGCTGGCTGTATGTCCTGATCCACCAGCTCTTTGTAAGGTTTTCTCTGAAGGCACGCCACAAGCTCTACAGTGTCTTCAAGGTTACAGCCGACCTTACGGGCCAGCATCCGGGCATACTTGGCTGGTTGAAAACTGACAGCCCAGCTGGACAGAGCGGTGCCACTCTGGGCGATCGCCCTCTGGAACAGGCCTGGAGAATCAAAACAGCAAAGGGTCAAGGAGGAAGGAAAGAAACAATACACTATGCCCTGGGAAGTCTTTCTAGTGTCATAGAAATCAACAAACATATATACATACACAAGCACAAAACAAATATACATGCAGCTACTGGAAAAAATAAGACATTAGATGAGAAGCAGGCTGAAGATATTAAAGAAAGTGAAATGTATACGAGTTGAAGTCCCACCATCTAAAGACAAAACTGGCACAATTATTATTAGTCCAACCTGGATATATAAACTGTTTACCAACTACACTGATCATCAGTCTCTGATAGGGTTGTCATAATTCGATACCAGTAAAAATCAAACAATCTGTTTTCGATACCACAGCGATAACAAAAAAAGTGTTTTTCCTAACCCCCTGCTCGCAGTGCTGGTACAGAAAAAGTCCCTGAACACATGACAATTTATATGATGTACTTTTTACAATATACAAAGGGCATACTGAAGAGTGTTTACACCCAAAACAGGGTACACAAATCAATTCAACGATCACTCCAGACGCTGCAGCTACATAGAGTCATCTGTATTTTGGGATGTTCTTTTCTTGGCCGTGTTTTGAGACATTTCTTCTTGTCAGTCATTGAGTAGTGGTTTGGTGCTCACCCACAACAGTCTGCAGGTCGTGACTAAATGACAACGAAGCAAGCAGGTAAAAATTGCTTCCTCTCTATTCCTCTGCTCTGAGTGCTGACAAATCACAGCAGTGGCTCAAAATGTGCAAAGTATGCAATGACAGTAGGAAACTTCCCTAACGGGACCCCATTGACAGCACTCAACTCTCGTAGCCCTGCTAAGCATTGCATGCATTATTCCTTTGAAAGCCCAAGTTTATCAATGAAGGTCACAGAACGAAAATGAAGTGAAACGATCAGAAACAGAACTAAGAGGAGCAGAGAGTGATGATGACATTTTTAAGGGTATGACTGAAAGCTGCTGGTCTAGCCCTAAGTATGGGGGAGAGACACATTAATAATGTAACTTCTGCTAGCATGAAATTATGACGTTTGTTCTTTGACGTCTAACATTCGTCATTGTAGCTAGCAGAGCAGAGTGTGTGTCCACATTATATAACAACATACTGTATATAAGAAACAACGGGGATGAACACATTTTTGCCTGGTACCAAAACAGACCCCAGAATCACCCCTCTGGAGAATTATGACTTCAACCAGCACTGTCCAAGATGCATATTTAGAGCAAAAGAAAGATTCAATTCTAGTAACAATGTAATTTTTTTGTTTTATATCATCACTTATAAAGTCAATAATGCTAAATTGTGCTCCCACAATGAATACAGTCTGAAAAATGACTGCAGTCAGAGGTCACACGGCAAACATTGGTCAGCCTTCAGTAAAAGCCCTCTGAAGTGAGTTTACTCGTGTTAGCACTAACAGATTATTCCATTTAGTGATAAGACGTTAACCTGGCAGGTCACATTGCTAACCCTTCTGAGTTCTCCATAAATAAGTAAATTTAAAATAATTAAAATAACTAGAAACTAAATTTGTATAAATATCTCTAGGCAAATGCTATAATCTACAACGCCGAGCTGTTTAAGAAGTTAGAAAACTTTTATATTGAATTTTTCAAAGATATACATTTTAGTATGGTCCTTAGGGCACACTAATACTAGGTTATGGGTAAGATGCCTAAGCACACTTCATCCTCAAAGTCCAGTCCATGTAACTAGTGTGAGTGCTCCAAACCGTGGTCAAGCACGGTACACTTGGAAGAGGTGTGCTCCTTCGGCACGGTACAGTTGCTCATGCACGAATACAAACACGGGTACACAACGTGGATGTAAGTCGTTTCCTGCCTCCATTATTGAGAAATCCTGATTGTTCTGGCTGTATACGACTTAAATGACTCAAATAAGCCACAAAGTCAGTAAAGTAGCATCGTATCTATGTTGATCTGTGATATGCGGACGCGGACTCTGATGTGCGTCCTTTTTGTTTATTTGAGTCCTCCAATCTTGTAAACCAAACACTCTTCATGATCATGGAAAGCCATGCATGTTGTATTATGACTTTATGAACAAGAAGTAACCGTGCTCAGGCCTGGGTTAGTCCTGGAGCAGTTTTGAGTGCAGGGCAGCGGGAGAATGTTGATAGGGGGACAATCGTGTTTCAGCACAGTACAAGGCAACTGGGCCTAGTGTGAGCGCTCCCTGAAGCTCAGTGCAACACACAGGGTACAGTAGCCCTTACATGATCTTAAGTTTAGTGGAGCTGAAAGGTTTAGTAGCCTCTGTCATGGTGTAGTGTTTTGAAGCAAAGGTTGATTCCTTTTTTTTTTTTTGCACTGATCCGATAAAAAAAAATAAAAAAAACCCATGTCTCCATATTCTGAGTGTTCTGGGGGTTGATATCCCAGGGGGAAATGTTTTTTTTTTTTTGTATTTTACCTTTGGTGGAGTTGCTCCAGCGGTTGCCCTCAGAGTAGTGAGACAGAGTGAGCAGGTTTACACAGGAACCTCCGGCGCCTGAGCCGAACACAGTGATACGTAACGGGTCGCCGCCGAAGGCTGCGATGTTCTCGCTGGTCCAACGCAGAGCCTGGATCAGGTCCAACAATCCATAATTCCCTTTAGCCGCCTGGTCCCCTGTACTCAGGAACCCTGCAGAAGGAGACAAAGAACAGAGGAGACGTCGGTTACATTTTTTTCTTTTCATGCATCTCAAACAAGTCGTTGGTTGTTTCGAGTTTAGCTGCAGACAAAATTAGAGCACTAAACAGAGAGAGACAAAAAATGGATGGGTCAGTGGAGGAAGTTTGACTTTTCCTTTTGTCACTACAGAAAGTTAATTATCCTCCATACACTACATTTTGAAGACCACTGAGGACAGAACTGTTTTAAGACTCGTCCTCTTCTCGATCTCTTTTAGTCACATGGAAAAATCTTTCGACCACTGGAGCACTTTCTGCCAGAGTAGATAACATTGCATATTTCTTCGCTGTACATGGAAAACCAACAGGCCTATAGCTCTAATAATTCGCTGCAATAAAACCAGAGTAATTACTCAGTAGAACCACTTAAAGTGCAGATTGGCTAAATATAACACGGACAGACTCATTCTGGAGAGAGACATCTATGAATCTACGATCCAGCCCCCAAATAGAACCTACAGTAGCATAATTATGAGAAAGGGTCATGTGTTACACAAACAGCACATTATTTATAAGAGCTTAAGGGCAGAGCAACAAGCAAAGCATTTAACACTGCATTATTGAACTGTAGAATGAAATCTCTTTTCTTTGAGATTCTTATTTGTGTCAAAGAAATCTGATTCAAACACATCAGTTTAATTATTTTTAGATCCATGAGAAGAGCAAAATATATAAAAAGCAACATATAAATGTGGTTTGTCACATTTGTGAAAATGTTTACAAAGGGTTAGGGTGGTGTTGACGGGGAGTTTTCAGCCATGCTGCCATACGATTAACTTTATTTCCCTAGTTGGGAAATATTTTTCCACGAAAACCAGTCCTACTGGTGTTGTGTTGCTGCTGTGTTTCCTGATCTGAGCAATTCACGTTAGGAATACAATCTTTCCAGAAGTATTAATGACTAAATAACACAAAGAAGACCCAGCTTGAATAAGCAGGGTAGTGCATCCTTCAATGAGCTTTCAAAGGGGGCTAGTAAAATACATTAGCAACCATTATATGGAATTATACATAAATCTAAATCCAGCCCCACCTCTTCAAACCCCCACACCACATCTTTTATTCCACCTATTCAGTTAAACCCCTCAGGTATGCCACTTCTTGTCAATGCAGCTTTATAAAGATCCAGTGGTGGTTTGAATGTTCAAGTCCATGCTTCCCAAGTACTCCCACAGGAGAGCTCGAGCCTTTTACAGCAATCTATGTCCTAAAGCCCCCCTCACCATCACCCCAACTGCAATTTCGGCGCTCCCCTTATTTCCATACTAAAAGCTCCATTACCTGCTGCAGGTGTCCAGGGATTCCCCCACACCCATCAACCGCACGCATAAACCTTTCCCCTCCAACTTAGAGCTTCACATCTTTTCCTTCCTCTGTCCTCTTGAACGTTCTCACCATTGTACCACTCTGTGACTAAATGGAGAGCTCATTACACAGTGTCAGTCAACACTACAGTCACATCTCCACAGGGATACATTCAGGCCACATGTATCGGACACACATGGTGTAAAGCCTCTAAGGGATGTGCTGTAATAGGCTGCAGGAAGAAATGATGTCACCACTTCTCCTTGAATACACACGGTACGATTTAGTCCACACCTTGAAGCTGGAAAAAAGCATTATGTTCTGTAAATTCCTCAAAATGAACGAGTAAAGGCCAGCGAAATAAGCCTTGAGAGGCAGATTTAGTTTATTTGGACATCACTTTTTCCATCAAAAAAACAACAACAACACGGTTATGTAACTCTCCCCAATGTCGTGCTCTGTTTGTGGTTTTTTAAAAAAAACAACAGCACTGTTCTAATTTGCAGCTCTTTTGTTCGCTGTTTAGCCACTGTCACTAAAATACAAAATGTTCTGTAGATATTTTAAATTAAAAGTGCAGCAGGAAATGGAGACAATATTGCTTGCTAAGTTGCACGCCGAAAAGAAAGTGTTTCTTGTAATTGACCATGACAAAACACTCACCAGAAATAAAGACTAAATACTCCAGCTTGCTGAAATTAAGGCGAGTGCACTAACAATACAGGGCAGAAAGTTGACTGTTAAGCAGATAGATCAGGCTGTTCAGCCTATAATAACTAAAAAAATGTTGACTGATGTCTGCCACATTAGCCTAAATGGAAAGGGTGACAATAATGCCCTTCTTACCAGCTCTTAATTTTGAAAGTTGGCTGATGAAACTGATGAATGACACAAACAAACAAATTGCCCTCTCATAGGGATAAATAAAGACAAACTTGAACATTAAAGTACCTCTTCCCATATCCTGGGTCTGTTTTAATATGTGCTTTAATTTAAAGAAATTCCACCAAAGAAACAAAAATAAAGGAAAGGAACCATGTCTTGGCATAAGTAGCCGCTTTAGATCTGGAAATTGAATAGAAAAAGCTAAATATGTAGTTTGTTTCTTCGACAGTACTAAACACATATTTTCCCTGAAGGTAGCTTCCTCTGGATCATTGGCATGGACGGCCTACTGCTATTTCACTTACACAAATGATTTCTAAACAATAGAGATTATTTTCTGGAACTGAGTGGGAAGATTCACAAGAAGACTCCGGGGGTCGCGGACTTGGCTTTTAGCTTTTTTTGGTTGCACCGACGTCCCAAAACATTGCAAACAAAGGCAAACCTGCTTTTAAAAACTATGTTGAGGACAACGTAGGGCAGAGATTCAGCACCTTTTCAAGGTTTGTGACGATCAAGAGCGTGTTCTTATCATTCATATTATCTTAATGTTTTTATGAAAGTGATGCACGTAGTCTGTCTCACACATGCACTTCTCACATATTGCACCATGAATGCTCACAAACAAGGCATACTTCCTGACAGGTTGATTAGACTTCCTCTTGACAATCACAACACAGTACATTTGCCATCTGCACGCTCTGGCCGACCCCCACAGCCCTGCGTGTCCCTCCGATGACTGTTTAATTGAGTTCATTCCTTTTCTATTTGCCTTCCGCTGGTTTATTTATTTATATGTGTGTTTCTTGATCAAAGCCTAATCTTGTGGAAGCAACAGAAGCCATCTACAAGAAAGATTTTAATTGATTCAATTTAGCTGCAGTGCAGGGATGGGCTGGCAATCACAACGAGCAAGCAAGAAGAATGATTAGTACACGGAGAGAGTGGTGGGGCACCAGGGCAGGGCTCGCTCTCTCTCTCTTTCCCCCTCTCTCTCTCTCTCTCTCAGACACACAGGTCTTCTAACGCAGATATGTTGAGATACAATAATCTGAATTATGCAAATACAAACATGTTTGATTTGGAATATTTAAAGCCACACAGGGTTTACAATTGAATTCAAACTCTTAGACATCTACTCCTTATTCAAATCTAACCTAAATGACGTTCCTTATACTAAAATGTACAATTGCGATTATCTACTGGAAGGTCTTCGTACATGCACTATCAAACCCCTGCGGATGATCTTGAACGCAGCAGCGCGACTGGTCTTCAACCTACCCAAAAGAGCACATTTAACTCTAACTGTTCATCTCCTTACACTGGTTCCCAGTTACTGCTCGTATCAAATTGAAAAACTCTGCTGCTCGCTTACAAAACAGCGACAAAAACAGCTCCCCTGGTGGTGGAACAAACTGCCAAACTCCATTTGACCATTTTGATTGCAACAGATGTGATAAGCGTCATGTTGCAGCACGCAGATATCCAGATAACTAATAAGAAAAAAAAAACATCTGGGCGAAAGAAGTTCTTTATGTCCCTTGGTGATTGTTAGCAGTCTGAGAAGCATGCCGAAACTAGAACGTTCCAGACACCAATTATCTTGTCCCAGTTATCTGTCATAGAGAGTATATATAAACAGAAAGTCCTGTCTATAAAAGGACATTAGTGGCCCTGTGTTGTCATACAAAACCAGATGTGACAGGCATCTGTTGTGTTGACAAGGACACGATAGCCAATAAGAGCCATCAAATCTCCTCCTCACGACCTAGCTCGATTTATTCTGTTTCAAAGACCGCTTTCCCTTCTTTTTACAATTTAACTCCTGCACAGCATGCAATGTTTGAGGCTATCCCTTCTGATGTTCCAGTCTTTGGTGATGTTGTGAATGCTGCGTGTTATCAGCCCTTCAGCTGAGGCCTCACACACTTTACTTTCCTCCCGTGTCAGGTGGACCATATGTGTCTGTGTGGAACGTGTGGCTAAAAGCCACCGTCCGTGATCAGGGAGGCTGTGATACCGCCGCTCGGCCCTCTAAGCTCCCAGGATGACAATATTATGGTGAACCCTGATCCAGGAATCCAGCTTTTATCCCCGCTATCTCTGTTCAACCAGAGAGGGAATGCTAGAAGAGTAGAAAGATGGGATTTTTTATTTAATACTTCTTTCTCTGCACACATCTATTTTTCACAGTCATGGTCTGTATACCGTAATCCTCTCTCTGTTCACTCGCTCTCTCTGCCACTATCTGTCCTTTTGACTCTCCGCGTCATGAAAGGCAGAATAAGAAAGAACAGCAGAGGAGAAACATCAGCACTGAAGCAGGTAAACTGGAGCAGCAGATGCCGTTTATTACATACAGGGAGTGAAATCTGAAGAAAAAGCGGAATTCAGAAAGCAAAATGTAAGGGGCTGCGACAGTGTAGGATGGAGACGAATAAGTTCATATAGAAAAATAAACAAGCATAGAGACACAAAGACAATAAAGGTGAGAGGTAACAATGAAATGGAGAAGTAGAGGAAAGAAGACAAAGAGAGGCTTAAAACCCGCCTCAGCTCCAGCTCTCAACCTGTCTGACTGAAAGTTATGTTGAGACAGGATGTCCAGCATGGCGGCTGCTGCCGATGAGCCTCCGGAGCCCCCTGCAGTAACAGATGAGTGACCTCACTCATGCTTCGTCCATTAATATTCACAGTCTATGTTTTTACCCTGAGAAAAATACATATAATTTATAACTCTTCAAGTAGACCACAACTGCA